ACACGCGCGACAACTGCCGTTATAACAGCGTCTAAGTGGGGCACGCAACGTTCACCGACGTAACGCAAGTTAGTGCTCGCTGGCGAGCACGACCTCCAACCTTACAAATAGCAAATACCACGCATTGTTGTTCGGACTGGAGCAAGGCGGATCCCATGATCATCTCGACCTCATGGGTCCAGAGAAGGCGATTATCTGTATTCTCCCTCCAAAGCACTTCACAGTCAGTAGGAAGGGCTTGTGTCTCGCCGACCCGTCACGCGTGACCGATGTTGCCCCCGTTGCGGCACTCATATTTTCTTGTACATGTTTTTAAAAGCGCGTTCTCATATCGAGAGAGCGATCCTGCCGAGCGGTCACCGCTTCTTGACCTTGCGACACAAGGTGAGCCACGCTCTCCGGACCAAGCAAGGCCATAAGCTTGTTAAGCGCGTCCTGCTGCGCCGAGGGCAAATTCGTGAACACCGTGGGCTTCACCCTCGCAGAGGGTACAGTCAATCGATGCAGGAGCGGGGTTGACTACAAGTGTTACCAAGTTCAGCGGGTCTACCGTAGCTTTAGCATCAGAGAAAGAAGTTCGACTCAAAGAGTCCTTAATATAAAGTTCATTATACCAAGGAACTTTAGCACAACGATAAAGCCAAGACTCAGGAATTATTAACTTGAAAAAAAACCTTCTGCGTTAAAATCGAAGTGTCTTATTTCTCTGTCCTGACGTCGTATGAGAAGCAGTCGAGTGAAGTATTCTGCGGTGAGCTTGCTGAGCTGAGCCTGGTCGACGGCGACGTGGACATACTGCTCGGCGTGTTTTAACCATGCGCTTAAGACTTCATCGGCTTTCTTGTGTAGCATGGGAACCCGGGAGTTGTTTGTGGACGAAGCTACGAAGAGGGCACCGCACATGACTATGTCGTCCTCAACGGACGGTATTAAGTCCCAGTCCGGTGGTATATCCATCCATGTTGTGGCTGGTGCTCGTAGTGAAGGCGTGCATCGCTCAGAATACTTATTGATGTGCAGTGCGTATGAGCGTTTTGTCGATTTTCATAACAGCATCGATGGACACGGCTCTTATCTCCTATGAAAGCGATAATGCGAGGTTCTCGTCACCATCAGTGGCGTCCTTCTCCTGGAGCCCATGCAGACTTGGCTTCCGGAAGGCATGGTCACCTCCGATGACTGGCTGCAGGCCAGCTTCACTGTCTCGCTCTCGGTGCTTGTCGACTCGTTGGCAAGCTTGTGCGGCGCGTTTGGCGATCTGTGCGCAGCGTTGAAAGCCTGTAGCTGATCGTACACGGAAGATATCACTCCATTTTGGCATTCCACTCAGTAGCGCCGGAGTCACTGCAGAAACCGTAGCTACACATAAGCAGTTAGTAACTCAATAACAGTAGTGTTTCCAATGTAACTCACCGCACAGAGATATTGCCGGGGTTGAGCAGGTCATTGGAGCACAGGAGGTGGACTACGCTGTCGTAGACAGAGCACGGATCCGTTTGAGTCAGCTGGGGACTGACTTAACAGATGAAAGCGCACTTCATCATACTTGAGGTGATAATCGTTAATGTCGTCAATAGCGTTACGTCTGCAAAGAATGCCGCAAAGTGATCGAGTAACTAGACTTTCCAGTCTGGAGGCACTACGATCTTAAAAGAGCAGCCGTAGCCCAAGGTAGCCTTAGAGCAGCTTCCTGAGGGCCTTGAGATGACCTCATTCTCTGTATCAAGCAACCTATGGCGCAATCGTGCGACAAAGAGGACGAGAAGCGAGAGCGTTATTTTCCCAAGCAGTGAGCAAGCCGTCTTGCATCCGAACTGCGATCCATAGCGGTGGTCAAAATGGAGGATTGTCATGTGCCCGTCTGGACTTCGATTTTAACTCACCAGTGGGGTCTTTAGCAATCGCGTGGAATCTGAAATCTGGAATTTTCAGTGACCGTTTTCCAGGTTTCAGGGAAAATCGCATTCAGCATACCGTTTTTCCTTCTGAAACCTGCAACAATGTTCCAAGATAACCCCCTTTTAATGATATTTTTTCAGGTGCACGTTTGGGTCCCTGAAACTTGAAACTTGTAAGATTCAATAGTGTTCCTCACATCAAATCCTCCTCTTTGAAAGTTATAGACAGCGGAGCGGGGCAAGCATGCGATCCTGAAAGTGAAACCGCTCCTGAAAAGCCAACCTGCCCTGATTGAAAATCGGAAACGTAACTGGACGGAGGAGACAATGCTTTGCAAACTGGGATGTGCACAGTAGCAAGGCCGGAAATGCAATTAAAAACTTCATCTCATTGCATACTATCTGAGTCACTTCCCGCACGATACCGGAGACTGTTGCCGGTCCAATACCAAATCGCTCGGCCATGACATCTAATGTAGTGCCTTGTGCACAGAGAAACAGGAAAACTACAAGGCGGAGCGGTGGCAAGATTGAATCTGGAGCTGCTCTCGCTGATAAAAAATGTGGGTACACAACTTGAGCAAGGGCCGATATGCTAGCACTGTCCATACGAAATAGTTCTCGCATCGATCCATCGAAAAATATTCGCGACGAGAAGAGCATTTTTGCCCAGTAAGAGCTTCTTTTTTTGAAAGCATTTTGCGATCGTTAGGCTCAGCAAACGTAGCAATTACTTGCATTTCAACTTCGTGTGTAGCTTGTAATAAATTCATCGATCTGCTGAATGAAGTAACAGGGAGTGAGAGGCCTTCCAAAAGCATTAGTATCGCCAGGTCCCTAGCCAACATCTTAAAATTGCTTAAAAAAGAACAAATACAGCAATCCATAAGCAGTCAGTAATGGTACCTTTTGCTAAGCACTAATCTGTAGACGTTCGTGCCGTTGATGGCTGCAATGAGGTAGTAAGCTCACCTGGAACACGCTTGAGCCTGAGACGTAGCCCGATCACCAGCCCGAGCTTAGTTGTTCCCAACGCTGTGATGGTCGGCACGTATATTGAGAGGGCGGAGCGTAGGTAGGGGCAGGAGCTGGGTCTTTTGGCGAAGTGACTTTGCTCGCACGAAGAGCGCCGCGGATTGAAGCGGTAGCTAAAGTCTTCTTAAGTCTATCAGCCGAAAGTGTGATTTTAATATGTCACAGTTCCAGATGAATTTGATGAAGATCCGCGAAAAAGTGGTGCTAGAAACTTTTATTCCAGGTTTCAGGCTACAACTCTGCTAAAGAGGGCCAGTAACTCGACAGTACTGGCGAAGCTGTAACCTGAGCTACTGGATACTATAGTAGCAGTAGAAACAGATTTGACAAAACTACTGTAGTTAAAAGTATTATAGTACTATCTATTACTGGCAAGGCAATAACCGCATCGTCTCCTGTCCTAAGCGAGCTGTAATGTACTCAGGTCGCGGTAGGGTTATTTTCATTACGGAAAATTAGCTTATAAAACTTAAGATTTTTTTTAATTTTGAGCCAATCAAAAAATATGGACACGGCGGGAATCGAACCCGCGTCCATCCGCATAAAAACGCGGTACTTTTGCCGTCGGAGCTACGTGTTCAAGCCCACTTGGGTACCTTCACATTTAAATCAAGTACTATTTATTTGTCTCTTAAAAGGGAACGTGATCATCAGAACTACTGGCATATTCATCGTCGCTCCCAACAAAGTTACCAACAGCACCAACTGATCCAGGAGCTCGGTTATTTCATCGATCACTGGTGACTCGATGGCATTCTCATTGTCGCATGTATCTCCCAAGAGACCCGCCTTTGAAAAGCCGCTGACATTTGTAGCTGTGCTAAGTTCTCCCCAGCTTTCATTTATCCATGATGTAATATCAACTCGTTTGGGAGCCACCAACTCGAAAGCTGAAGTTTGTGCTTGTTCCTGTAGGCGATATATCTTCTCTCTTCCAACTTCTTGAATCTCCGTCCTAGCAATCGTAGCCTCTCGTTCTCCTAGCTTACGCAGCTCCTCAGCTCGATATTTTTCCAGTGCGTGGTGGCGACCAATCTGACATCGCAAGCTGTCCAGCCAGCGACCTCTCAGACGGCTTTAAATGGATGGTTCCATGCCACGTCGACAGGCTGACATACGTATGTATAACGCGGTGGGACCTTCATCAGCACCACATTTATTGACGCTCGTTCGTATTCTCTCGGAATGCGAAGTGGAACTGAAGGAATTCTAGTGAAATGTGGGCATTCCACCATGCCGTAGGGTTGCCATAAGTACAGCAGCCATGGACAGCTTAAAGAACAAACATCTCCTTCCATAAACGTACACCAAATCCATGCCGAACCGAGTCGTTCTCTTGCTGAATGTGTTTGTGGCGTGAGACGTCACTCTTAAAAATGACAAACGGCGCATGTTTTTTTTTACATTCCAGTCGCCGAGAAGCATTACCGTGGTTATTTCTTTCTCCTTGTCGCTACACTTGACCCACACCGTCTTTGCCCCTTTGGTTGAGACTGTCTTGCAAGGTAGATATTCGAAGAACACAGCTAGAGTACTCATACAGTGTCAATGCACTCATGTGATGTATATATAGATATCATTATGACCTCACCTGTTTGATCAGCGTTGTACACGTTGGTGATCCCGTGTTCAACAATTGCAGCCCGCACGTCCCCGCAGAACTTTGCTTTGGCAGCGTCTGCGTGCTCTAGTGTCGTCTGACCCTGGCGCGTTCGAGCTCGGATCGATAGGTTGTGTCTCCTCATTAACCGGCGGCGCCAAGAATGGGACGCCTTGAATACATTGGCGATAGACCTTGGTCAGCGGCCATTTCGAGGGCTTTGAAGCGTAGCATTTGGGAGGAAACAGGGCACCCCCTTCTTGCGCATAGCATAAACCCACAACACAATAGCACCTTCAGCTTCGCTTGACAGGATTGTAGCTTGTCCACTACAGCGGAGATTCTTTAGATGGCCTTTGCCGTCGTCGCAGACAGATTGAATAAGATCCTCCTGCTTCTTCCACTTTGAAATCTGTTTTTGCTTGCGCGTCTAAGCGCTGCCAGTGCAGCCCGGATAGAACTGAGCGATGGCGTCACCCACATTGTGTCCGGCTGCCAGATACTTCAACAGCTCTAGCTTGTGTATGTAGTCCACTGCAAACCCGAGTGTATCGCTTCGGCTTTCTTCCGGTTCCATTTGTACAAGCCCTGCCCCTTGCGCGTTTTCAGCAATGGCCGTATTGGAGCCAGCCAGCAGCACAGCCCATAATTAGCTCCACGAGATGGTACTTTATTTTTATCCATCTGTTTAAAATTGGAAGCTGTGATTGGCTATAATTACGATTCGCTTAGGACAAAACTTCGCTTAGGACAGGGGCGATGCGGTACTACCAATCCCTGGCCATCATCAATCTCCGGTCAAAAAATGTGCCCGGCACAATTTCGCAACCTTTCGTTCATTTGGTAGGCTGTTCCCCGTCCAAATCAAAGGGTTGTTCAGCACTACATGCTGCTTCGGATTTGATGTGACGCGGTGCTGAAGCCCAGGAGCCTGACGCCGCCGGCCTGGGCTTCTCCACCGAGTCCCAGTAAAATGTGCTGCCCATCAAAGACATCGAGTCAAGTACCGATGAGTCGTTTCTGTCGCACGTGGCTACATGCTGTCGCTTTGGCTGCAGCGCTCATAGCCGTGAACACCAGCGCCTTGGCTCCTTATTGGCGTCTGAGCGCCTGCTTGCTGAAGAGGCTGAAGAGAATGACAAGACGGTTCCTTTCAGCTCGTGGAACAATGTTCCCGATACGCTGAACCACTTGCTGACTTTAGTGCTCCGGCTGTTGGGTGAGCATCCGCTCGGACTGTTTTGCCCAAGTTCTTCCATCTACCGCTGATCACTGGGTAGCCAGCGTCATGTCGGGTCCGTTCCTGTCCAGCTTGTTGAACGAGGACGTCGTGACATGCTTGGCTCATACGTCAATCCTTTCGCGCTGAGCTTCATCTCGTTCCAGGCCGACAAGGAAATCTACCTGCCAGAACTACGGCCTTATATCAAGTCGATCCTGACTCTACTGTCCACCTTCTACTACATGGGGTGCTAATCACGAGTGTCTTCATGCTAGAGACCGGCGCGTTCTTCTACTCCGACTTATAGCACAACCGTCAGCCGGGCATCGCGCTCATGTTCGCCTCGATTTCGGTGGTCGTATTGCCGCCCACCTCCATGGCGCTTTTAATCGAACTCAATAGTGTCGGACCTCTCATGAACCTGGCACTTGGCACCTGCATAACGGCTGTTTTTCTTCGTCTTGCGGGTCGTCGCGTCCATTTACGGCGCCAAACTGGACGTGTCTCCGGAGAGTATCACTTTCACACTGTGCGTTGGGCTAATAAACGCCTGTGCTGGGGGCGCTTCTCGGTCTCGTGACATTGATAATCCTCATCTTCCAGATACCGAGCGGGAAACCGGACAAGCCTCCTGGGTCAACAGTGTTTCCTACCCACGGAATCTCGGTCTCTTTCGGCACAGCGCCCAGAGAGTACACTTCACGGTACCACAAGAAGATGCAGCAACGCATTATCGGTAGAATAACCTAGGAGCAGACAAGTGACGACCCTAATCAAACGCCTCACCAGCTCAACGTCTTCGTTAAAGAGACAGATGCCGAGAAGCCACCGTGTTGGACGGAGAACAAAGCGCTCTACCTCAAGTGCTTTCTCCGGCTGGTGGTGGTCTACCTTTTGCACCTCTTGCTCACTGAACTTGCAGCACGTTGCTACTGCGCAGTGCGCACTATGCACTCGAGGTAGCACGACGCGTTGCGTCTCATCATTGGTTTAAAGTCTCTGTGACACGCGTCTATTTCCGCTCAAGTACGCCAGAAATACAAAGGAGTTGAACCGGAATTATATCCATCGGTTAACGGTTTTTATCCCGATCTACCCCCCTTGTGGAGTCTGGTGTCTGTCCGTAAGCCCGTCCGAGGGTAGGGCTCTAAAATGTAACGCAAATACGGGAGTTCTACTGGCTGCAGAGCGCAACGAAGGCGGCGTCGATTGGCTAAAATCGGATTATGTGGTGTACACACTGGATGTGGTCAACACATCGTACTTAAATGCCTTTCGAATTTCATTTTGCCCCCATTTTAAAACGGAAGCCGCGGAACGCCACGTTACTCAAGGTACGCTGCGTGCATGCGTGTTAGCTTGCATTAGTAGCTAGCAAGACACACGTACACAGATAGTCCGAGGTTCATGGGGCTGCTTAAGGGGGTAGCTTATAATTTGTGGGATTCTATCCTGCAAGTAGGTAGCCGTGCTAAGGGGATTTAGTTTCAGAGCCCTCTGGGCTCTTGGGGCTTTACCCCACCGCCCACTCTGCGCGAGAGCACATTTGGCACCTGGTCAATTGACCGCAAGCCCGACAGCGAAGTAGTTGAGCCGGTCGTTAATGGTTATTGATGGGCACACACATTGCGTGCGTGCAGTTGGTCAGGAGAAGTATTGTAACTGGCACCTTTTAACCGACTGATGGGATGGGGGACTGTAATAGCCTATCAATAACCAGTCTTTGCAATTAACGGCCGCCTTTTGGCGAAAGGATTTCGCACCTCAAGCTACAGTACTATCCGGGGGGCCAACCCTGAAGATTCGACTACACAATTTGCAAACTAAAACCGCTCCGGGCTTCCCGGCCCGTGACTGTGGGATAAGCGATCGGAGATAACCTTGATGGGAGCAAGCAATCCCGTGTAGTACGCATATTTTCAGCACACTACTCTATGAAAACCTACTGCTACGTGCGGTGTACTTAGACATTGTCTAACGCGTCACGTTTTCGTGTTCGCAGAACTATGGTTCGGAGTAAGCGAAAGAGGACGCGCGGGGAACTCTAGGAGGCCCTGCGCGAGAACGAACGCATTAACGCGACACCCATGCAAGAGGAAAATTATGCGCGAAAACGACGTCAGACCAAGCGCAGCAAGAAACGATGCGACTTTAAGAAACAGCTGAAGGCCCTCAGTGTGCATAAAGAAGCTACGGCGCTTACGGAACCTACGGAAGGTCAAGCTAACCGTATTGAAGAGCGGGAGAAAAAGGCAGAAGAGTCCGATCCTGTGGCACTTCAGCGCCGGTTTGCGGCTGAAATGAAGGCGGCGTACCAAGCTGAAACTGAGGATACGGCTTATTTACAGTACCTGTCGTATTTGAACCAGCGGTTCGAGAAGATGTCCCCGTCTCGGCTGCGCAGCGAGCTCGCGACAAAAGAGCTAATAGGACACTGTCTCAGGCAGATTGCGAGCGAGCACGCGACGCACAGCGAGCTCGAACGAGGCGAATTAATATGACACTATCTCAGCATGATCGTCCAAGGAAGAAAGACGCTGAGCGCAAGCGTGTCCAAATGGCTAGCTGCGCGGGGAGGAGCTTCAGGAACGACGTGAGCACTACAGACATCATGTGGCGGTACATAGAGAAGGGCTGATGCAAGAGCAATGCCAACACGAACGCGGCCTCAAACGTGAACAACACGCACTTCGGCGTGGACAGCTGGAGGAGCACAAAGAGAAACGGAGCGTGAACTAGACCGACAACGGCAGGCCATTCGAAGAGCAGGGCGGACGGAAGAAGAGCGCCAGCAGGAACTCGAGTGTGTGCGCACTGGACGCCAATGCACCCGTCATGGCTAGCTCTTATTTCCCTTGAAGACTTCATTGTGTCCATGATAACGGGTGGCGACGTGGTGATCGGCCGGCACAAGCTCCCGGTTACAGCCGTTTGCCCGATCTGCAATGCTTGGAAGTGGCCAGGCGAGTCTGCAATATCATGCTGCCTGGTAGGCAGGGTAAAGCTGCCTCCACTGCACCCCGGGCCAAGGAGCTGCTATAGCTGTACTGAGATCCCGAGTTTCGCCGTCAAATCCGTGCCTACAACCAAGCCTTTGCGTTTACGTCGATTGGTGCTTCGTGCTCAAACCGATCGTTTCACAGCGTACGTCAGGACGAGAGCGTTGCCGGTACACACGGGGTGTACACGTATCGCATACAAGGGGCTATGAGACACTACCTAGGGTCTCTCCTCCCCCACGTAGACCGTTGGACAGGCGCACGGGTAGCTTCAAAGAGTTTGCGCAGATCTACATTGTGGATCCAGACATGCAACACCGCGCGGGGCGGCGTCTTGGTATATTCGCGGATCTGGATCGTGTTGCACTACTAGACATCGAGAAAATGATGGCAGAGCACAACCCATAAGCGCAACGGCTCCTCCACTTTGGGCAGCAAGTGCGTCAACACAACACGGAGGCTCCAGTAGACTTGGTGTTCCGTCTGCATGACAGCTCCTCGCGACCGCGGACTCATAACCGCCCCACTGTGCTTAAGTGGCTGCGACTCTCATTGAGGATGGCAACCTGGCTCAGCCTTGGGATCTACTACTCTTTACACGCGATCAAAGACAACTACGTTTGTACGAGACTCACGCCGATTACGATCCACTCCAATACCCGCTTCTCCTTCCATATGAAAAGAAGGGCTGGACCTACACAGACGGTTTCGCGAATGGTGCTGAGTATGGAAATAAAAAGGCGATGTCGCTTCGTGAACACGTAGCGTTCCGCCTTCATCAGAAAGTGGATGATCAGTCCACTCTCCACCAAGGCGGGCGTCTATTTTAACAGCGGTGTGTAGTTCGGCGTGCAAAATGTGAGCAAGAGCCGCTTCGCTGGGAGGCCGACAATCAGAAAACACTTCGCGCCGATCAATACAGGGGTGTGCAAGACGCTTTACTCAATGAAGATACTTTGGCTCTGGCGGAAGGAGAAGTGCTGCTGTCGGAATATGACCGGGTCCAGAACAGATTGGTGCACCCGGACCGGGACGGAAGCAGCAGGGGGCGACCTACCCTTTCTTAATCAGGTTGGCAAGCGTATCATACTACCGACGCGCGGGGAATTCTAGGAGGCCCTGCGCGAGAACGAACGCATTAACGCGACACCCATGCAAGAGGAAAATTATGCGCGAAAACGACGTCAGACCAAGCGCAGCAAGAAACGATGCGACTTAAAGAAACAGCTGAAGGCCCTCAGTGTGCATAAAGAAGCTACGGCGCTTACGGAACCTACGGAAGGTCAAGCTAACCGTATTGAAGAGCGAGAGGAAAAGGCAGAAGAGTCCGATCCTGTGGCACTTCAGCGCCGGTTTGCGGCTGAAATGAAGGCGGCGTACCAAGCTGAAACTGAGGATACGGCTTATTTACAGTACCTGTCGTATTTGAACCAGCGGTTCGAGAAGATGTCCCCGTCTCGGCTGCGCAGGGAGCTCGCGACAAAAGAGCTAATAGGACACTGTCTCAGGCAGATTGCGAGCGAGCACGCGACGCACAGCGAGCTCGAACGAGGCGAATTAATATGACACTATCTCAGCATGATCGTCCGAGGAAGAAAGACGCTGAGCGCAAGCGTGTCCAAATGGCTAGCTGCGCGGGGAGGAGCTTAGGAACGACGTGAGCACTACAGACATCATGTGGCGGTACATAGAGAAGGGCTGGTGCAAGAGCAATTCCAACACGAACGCGGCCTCAAACGTGAACAACACGCACTTCGGCGTGGACAGCTGGAGGAGCACAAAGAGAAACGGAACGTGAGCTAGACCGACAACGGCAGGCCATTCGAAGAGCAGGGCGGACGGAAGAAGAGCGCCAGCAGGAACTCGAGTGTGTGCGCACTGGACGCCAATGCACCCGTCATGGCCATGCTCTTATTTCCCTTGAAGACTTCATTGTGTCCATGATAACGGGTGGCGACGTGGTGACCGGCCGGCACAAGCTCCCGGTTACAGCCGTTTGACCGATCTGCAATGCTTGGAAGTGGCCAGGCGAGTCTGCAATATCATGCTGTCTGGTAGGCAGGGTAAAGCTGCCTCCACTGCACCCCGGGCCAAGGAGCTGCTATAGCTGTACTGAGATCCCGAGTTTCGCCGTCAAATCCGTGCCTACAACCAAGCCTTTGCGCTTACGTCGATTGGTGCTTCGTGCTCAAACCGATCGTTTCACAACGTACGTCAGGACGAGAGCGTTGCCGGTACACACGGGGTGTACACGTATCGCATACAAGGGGCTATGAGACACTACCTAGGGTCTCTCCTCCCCCACGTAGACCGTTGGACAGGCGCACGGGTAGCTTCAAAGAGTTTGCGCAGATCTACATTGTGGATCCAGACATGCAACACCGCGCGGGGCGGCGTCTTGGTATATTCGCGGATCTGGATCGTGTTGCACTACTAGACATCGAGAAAATGATGGCAGAGCACAACCCATTAGCGCAACGGCTCCTCCACTTTGGGTAGCAAGTGCGTCAACACAACACGATGGGTTCCAGTAGACTTGGTGTTCCGTCTGCATGACAGCTCCTCGCGACCGCGGACTCATAACCGCCCCACTGTGCTTAAGTGGCTGCGACTCTCATTGAGGATGGCAACCTGGCTCGGCCTTGGGATCTACTACTCTTTACACGCGATCAAATACTACTACGTTTGTACGAGACTCACGCCGATTACGATCCACTCCAATACCCGCTTCTCCTTCCATCTGAAAAGAAGGGCTGGACCTACACAGACGGTTTCGCGAATGGTGCTGAGTATGAAAATAAAAAAGGCGATGTCGCTTCGTGAACACGTAGCGTTCCGCCTTCATCAGAAAGGGGATGATCAGTCCGCTCTCCACCAAGTCGGGCGTCTATTTTAACAGCGGTGTGTAGTTCGGCGTGCAAAATGTGAGCAAGAGCCGCTTCGCTGGGAGGCCGACAATCAGAAAACACTTCGCGCCGATCAATACAGGAGTGTGCAAGACGCTTTACTCAATGAAGATACTTTGGCTCTGGCGGAAGGAGAAGTGCTGCTGTCGGAATATGACCGGGTCCAGAACAGATTGGTGCACCCGGACCGGGACGGAGGCAGCAGGGGGCGACCTACTTTTTCTTAATCAGGGTGGCAAGCGTATCATTCTACCGACGCGCGGGGAATTCTAGGAGGCCCTGCGCGAGAACGAACGCATTAACGCGACACCCATGCAAGAGGAAAATTATGCGCGAAAACGACGTCAGACCAAGCGCAGCAAGAAACGATGCGACTTAAAGAAACAGCTGAAGGCCCTCAGTGTGCATAAAGAAGCTACGGCGCTTACGGAACCTACGGAAGGTCAAGCTAACCGTATTGAAGAGCGAGAGGAAAAGGCAGAAGAGTCCGATCCTGTGGCACTTCAGCGCCGGTTTGCGGCTGAAATGAAGGCGGCGTACCAAGCTGAAACTGAGGATACGGCCTATTTACAGTACCTGTCGTATTTGAACCAGCGGTTCGAGAAGGTGTCCCCCTCTCGGCTGCGCAGCGAGCTCGCGACAAAAGAGCTAATAGGACACTGTCTCAGGCAGATTGCGAGCGAGCACGCGACGCACAGCGAGCTCGAACGAGGCGAATTAATATGACACTATCTCAGCATGATCGTCCGAGGAAGAAAGACGCTGAGCGCAAGCGTGTCCAAATTGCTAGCTGCGCGGGGAGGAGCTTAGG